TACCGCTAAGTTAGCTGACTTTTTAATGGGAAATTTCTCGACAAGGGAAGATGCCAGAAGCAATTTTTGGACATCTATATGATCGTATTGATCCAATCTATATGTCCATTGGAATCAAATATCATAATGTTAAACGAATGATAAATTTAACTCACTTCAAAACAATTTGACGGCTAATAATACAGTTTTTGCAAAAAATTACATTACTTCCGGTGATAAGATTTTTACATTAATTCTATGAAAATATAAATGGCATAAGGCCTCACATGGTGAAAATTTTATGATAATCGAATAATAATTGACACTTTTATAGACTAAAACCTATATCTCTGCCTCCGAACAAATTAGAAACCATTTTGTGATATCTGTATGGTTGTATGGGTTTTTGCCCAAATGTCGTCATTTTCAGTGACAGTGAAAATGTTAAATTGGATTGACCTAGTCAAAGGTGGCATGAGGCATCACATGGTAACAAAAATTGAAAATCGAAGGATAATTGACTCTTTTACATGCAAAATAACGTGAAAAGTGACGCATGCAAAATTGCCTATTTCTTTGCAACTGCGCATATTACAATCTAATTTTGACATACATTGTCCTCGTATGGATTAATGCTACAAAATTATGAAAGTTGCGTAGAAATAATTTAAAATATGAAGACGATGAATGGGTTTTAAATAGCTGATTTTTTTCAACCTTAAATCCAAATGGTGCAAATACAAAACTGATATAAAAAAAAACAAAAAAAACTAAGCCCGACATATTTTGCGCTTGTAGTAGGAGCATTCATCTTCATTGATAAGATTTGTAGAAATTAAGATTTTTCCTCAGGAAAAGACCTCAAAATTTAAATTTTAGGCAAAATTACGTCACTTTCGGTGCCGACAGAAAACTTTATAGGTAGAAACAAGTTGAGAATTTGCACCAAGGAGTATATGAGCTTTTGTTTTATACAAATCAAGCAATAAATAATTAACTTAGAACCCATAAAGTGTAATAAAAATGCGAAAAGTCTTAAAAAGTGATCCTGACGAAATTGGTTATTTCTTTGCAAGAGAAGATGCTAGAAGCTCATTTTTTACATATTTATGATCATATTGATCCAATCTATATTTCCATTGGAATGAAATATCATAATGGTAAACAAATACTAAATATAACTCACCTCACAAAAATATTTGTTTTTAAGGCTAAAAATACAGTTTTTGCTAAAATGACATTACTTTCAGTGATAATGAAAATGTTAAATTAGTTTTATGAAATCAGAAATGGCATAAGGCATCACATGGTGAAAATTTTATGAAAATCGAATAATATTTTACACTGTTATAGACCAAAAACCTTGAAAAGTGACTAGTAGAAAATCGTCTATTTCACTGAAACCTTACAAGTTAGAACCCATTTTTGTGGTATCTATATGGTCGTATGGGTTCATTTTATTTGTTGATTGAAATTAAATATCATACTTTTAAACAAATAACATATACGACTCATTTGAAAAAAATATCGGTTTTGAAGGTTAAAATTCAGTTTTTGCCCCAAGTGACGTCACTTCCGGTGACAGTAAAGGTGTTAAAATGGTTTAATGTAGTCAAACGTGGCATTCGGCATCAAATGGTGAAAGAAAATTGAACATTGAATAATAATTGATTCTTGTACAGGCAAAATAGCACGAAATGTGACTCATGCAAAATTGCCTATTTCTCGACAACTGCTGATATTAAAAACTAATTTTGACATACATTCTCTTTGTATGGGTTATTGCTACGAATTTATGAAAGTTACGATGAAATATTTTGAAATATGAAGACGGTGGATGGGTTGTAAATAGCTTAATTTTACACCTTTTTTCACCTTTTAATCGAAATAGCCCGAAAACGAAATCGAAATTAAAAAAACTGAGTCCGATGATTTGTGAGCCTTTGCATGGCGTATACTTTTGGTAATATCAAATTTTGAAAAAATATTTGCTTTCAAAAAGTTGTACCGAACTGTAAAAATCTGTCAAAATTGGTTTTTGCTGATTTTATTTGACTTCCGGTGCCGACACGAATCTTTACCGGTAACAAAAACAATTACATTTTGGACCACGCAGCATATGAACTTTCTTTAGTACAAATCGAATAATAAATAATTAATCTAGGACTGAAAAACTGAATTAGCCAATGGCGGCCAAGGAAAATTATTGACACAAAAAAGGTCAAATCGGATAACTCTCCAACCCTGGTTAAAATGCCATATAAAAATATTCATAAATAAAATTTTAAATTTTTCGAAATTTGGCGCTTAATATCTACGAAGATTCGTCGACAATCAAATCTCTGGCTATGTCAAAATGCATCATAGGTTAAAATTCGATGATTATTGTTAATACTACGGCATTTTTTAAAAAAAACGACAACTTCGGTGATTTCGGACATTTCGCATTGTCACAGAATGCCCAAAATGGCTTTAATCTCTAAGTCACACCCACTTTCCCAATAAACCGAAGAAATCGTATCGATCAGACATGTAGTTTCTGAGATACAATCAAATTGGAAAAAAAAAAAAAATAATAACTAGAACTGCAATGCAGTAATGACAGGTTTCACCGGTGCCCCGTTACCCTTGAACATATGTCACTTCAACCGATGAAACTTTTAAACAGGTTTCCATATAAGCATTGCACACATCAAATAAAATATACGCAGAATCTACCAAATCCAGCAATATCAATTCATTGTATACATTTGTTACATGTAAGTGGTCCTGACAAAATTACATTACTTCCGGTGGTAATGAAAATGTTAAATTAGTTTTATGAAATCAGAAATAGAATAAGGCATCACATGATGAAAATTTTATGTAAATCGAATAATAATTGCCACTTTTATAGACCAAAAACCTTGAAAAGTGACTTGTAGAAAATCGTCTATTTCTCTGCAACCGTACAAGTTAGAAACCATTTTGTGGTATCTGTATGATCGTATGGGTTCAATCTATTTGTGATTGGAATCAAATATAATATTAAAAACATTACAAATCAGACTCATTTGAATAAAAGATTTGTTTTGAAGGCTAAAAATACAGTTTTTGCCAAAATGACGTTACTTCCGGTGATAATGAAAGTCTTTAATTACTTGTATAGAATCGTAAACGGCTTTAGGTATCACACACTGAAAATATTATGAAAATCAAATAATAATTGACACTTTTATGGACCAAAAACCTTGAAAATCGTCTATTTCTCCGCAACAGAACAAGTTAGAAACCATTTTGTGATATCTATATGATCGTATGGGTTCATTCTATTAGTTGATTGGAATCAAATATCAAAATTTAAAAAAAATAACAAATACGACTCATTTTACTAAATTATTGGTTTTGAAGGCTATAAATACAGTTTTTGCCCAAATTACGTCATTTCCGGTGACATTGAAAATGTTAAATTAGTTTGACCTAGTTAAAAGTGACATTATGTATCAAATGGTGTCACTTTTATGAAAATCCAATAATAATTGACTCTTTTACAGGCAAACTAACGTAAATCGTGACTCATGCAAAATTGCCCATTTCTCGGCAACTGCTCATATTACAAACTAATTTTCACATACATTCTCTTTGTATGGATTATTGCTACAAGTTTATGAAAGTTGCAAAGAAATATTTTAAAATATGAAAAGCCTGAATGGGTTGTAAATAGCTAATTTTTCACATATAAATCAAAATTTCTAAAAATTTAAACGGTTTTGAAATTCTAATGTTTGGGCAATTATTTCTGCCATGTTTCAAAGTAATTGCTCAAAAAATAAAATTTGGTTGGTACATGCTACCTAAAGTACATTTCAACATAACCAACCTCACACATCTTGTATCCTTACGCCTCAAAATCATGTAAGGATGTATTTTTAAACCTTTTTTTTCGATTCTACACCAAAAAGTCAACAAAAATCGCCATGCAAAAGGGGGAAAAAGGGAAAGGGAGAGACACTAAAAATAACTTTGGCCCTTGTTTCGTGGGGGACGGCCGCACAGTACTGGATCTTCAAATTCGTGCGAAATATTTTGATATAAGGATTGTGGGTTAGGGTAAGGTTCCTAGCCCTTACCCTAACCCACAATCCTGGTATCAAAATATTTCGCACGATTTTGAAGATCCAGTATTGTAATTGTGCGTGACGGCCCAGGAATAGTGATGTTCGCCAGAACCGGATGGGACGTCACGCGAAATAACTGGTTGGCAGAAAGTGGTTCCAGCCAGCGCGGATTATAGTAAAAATGGCTGACACGTGGGGTAATGTAATGTTTGGCACTTACACATCAGCGTATTTCCAGTCTTTGGCGTTAGATGCTAAACATAGATATAAAAGTAAGTTATCTTACGACTCGGAAACGAAGTTTTTGCCAGATCCATACAGTTTGAAAGACAAATGGAGCGGAGATCCGAACACATGGCCGGACCTGACTTTTGGTGACATTTACCTCTACCTGATCGATACGCCATCATTGTACACTAAAGAATCTATGAAAGCTTATAAATCATTAGAGGCGTATAAGTAAGTTGAAATTTAAATCAAATATGAATATACTTATACTTTATCATTATCAAGGAAGACTGCAAGTAGCCTAGTTGTAGGCCTAATAAATTGGTGCAAAGTATTTTAAGTGAGGCCTACAGTATCAAAGTACCCAGGGAAAAGCTCTTATCTATTTCATTGAACATTACAAAAATGAGTGCCACATCTAAGATAACCATAATATACAATGCATCGATTTAGATTTAAGAACACAAACGTTTTACCCCTACTAGTAGCCTACTAACATGGCATTGTACACTGTAGGCCCACACACAGGCCTATCAGTAATCAAGTAAAAATTTATTGTTATTATTATTGATTTGATAAAATCTATCATTTAATACAAATTTATGGAAAAATATTTTAAATTACTTTTTACATTATTAGATGTGGTCAGTGGACATGTACAAGCAGTTATGTCACATCCAGTGTCAGGCAGCTGTCCATATGTAGCACTCAAGTCTAAAGTTGTTCCATCACAGAAAGCCAGAGACAAACCACACGAACCATGGGTGTACCTCGAGAAGAAAAATGGTACTGTGTATTGTGCACACTGTACATGTATGGCAGGGTAAGATTCCAAAATCAGTATTTTATAATTACTATTTTCTGTCCCTGCTGAATGCCAATAGATGGGTGTAATTAGCATGAAATCTTTTCTTTTACAGAATACTTTTGTAATAATTTGTTTTTAAAAGGCACTCAAATTTATTGTTTTCCATGTTACAGGCTAGGTGAAGTATGTAGCCATATAGCAGCACTTCTTTTTAAAGTAGAAATGGCAGTAAAAATGGGGTTGACACAGAACAGTTCAACGAGTCAAGCTTGCCAGTGGAACAGTACATTTCGAAAGGAAGTAAGTATTAAAATGGTCAATTACTTTGGTTGTCGCTGTGGCTCAGTAAGGCACTGGCTCATTAACCAAATCTTGGGTGGTTCCCCCTAGCCCTAGTCAGTGATGAGTTGTTCACATCGGACGTAAAAGAATCCTTGACAGTTTGGAATTTGAAGTAATAGTATGCTGTAGCACAACTGTGCTGACAATTTCCCTCTTGGCACACTCAACGTATGCCGCTGTCTTCATTAGTCCATTTCATTTACTTTCTTTATTTCTAAAAATTCTGTAAATAATTGCATTTCATAATTGATATAATTTCAGGTTACACCGGCAACAGTGACAGAAATATATGGTCAAATTAAGGGCAAGCGAACCAAAGAGATTGCTTCTTTTCAAGCTACTGGGACTACTCCTTTACCACCTTTAGAGGTCCTGGAAGAGCTTTATTCAATTGTACCAAATGCATCCTTTTTTACATCCGTTTCCATTCCAAATCAGCTTTATGCCAGTACACCAGTCAAGGTTGTAGAAAAGTACCCTAAGTTATTGGCTAGCATTACAAATGATCTCAGTGATTCAACAGATATTAAATACGATGAGATATATGATAATTATAGTGTTTCCGACTATCAAGCAAACAATTTAGAATCGGCAACACGAAATCAATCAATTAGTCCCCTGTGGTATCAGCATAGGATGGGCCTTGTAACAGCTTCGAGGGCCCATGATATTCAAACTAGGAAAGAAACCACATTACCTGATAACCTAGTAAAGCAAATAGTTGGATATACAACATATGATCTTTCCAAAAAAGTAGCTGTCAAGTGAGGTATTGATAATGAAGAGGAGTGTAGAAAGCTGTTTACCAAACACCAGTCAGCAAATCACATAGATTTTGTTTGTAAACTCTCAGGCTTCATAATAAATACGGCACATCCATTTTTAGGAGCAAGTCCTGATGGTTTTACCTTGTGTCAGTGTTGTGATAAAGGGGTTTTAGAAATAAAATGCTCTTATAAACACAGAGATATTTCAGTCCAGGAGGCTGCAGCAAAGGATAAGCAGTTTTGTTTAGATAGAAATTTACAACTCAAATCCAATCATCGTTGTTATTCCCAGATACAATTTCAGATGTATATTTCTAAATTAACTTTTTGTGACTTTGTTGTGTACAATAAATGTAGACCAGCTCCAAGTATGGTTATTGTACGAGTTCCAATTGATGTGGAATTTTGCACAAATTTAATTTCAAAGTGTGAAGAATTCATTAAAACTTTTATTATTAAGGAGCTTGTCACAAGGGAATTGGAAAATCAGAAAGAAGAGGCATCAGCATTAAATAACCAAGATAAAGACAATGACCTTGTGACTTGGTGTATCTGTTCGGAGCCAGAGTATGGACGTATGATTAAGTGTGACAATTCTGATTGTCCGTATGAATGGTTCCACTATAAATGTGTTAATGTTCGAAGAAAACCAAGAGGACAATGGTTTTGCCCAAATTGTGAAACATAGAAAAACATATACTTCAGAAAAATACCTGTGTTTTATTCAATAAATTTAATATGTTTCATGATTACATGTATGTTTTAAATTAATGCAGCAAAAGAAATGGGGTTTAATTTTGTCAAGACAACTCTTCAGTCTACCCTTTGCCAGACCCACCGTTCAGGGTGAATTCACGAAACAAGCTTTGGTTGAAGATTGCAAATTGCAGAACATACTGTAACGATACAATCAGCGTGTGGGACCATGTATAGACTCATCTTGCTACTAAGAATGTTAAAGTTCTTGAGTCTCTCGATGGCTCTCTCAACATGAATTCTGACATGTGCAATCTTTCATGTCTGTTCAACTAGACTTCAGTGATGTGTTCGCGGTTTGCTGTCTGCTCAGTTCTTTATACAGCTGTTCATTTTCAATTCTAAGCGAAGCAATCGTCTTGGCACATTCGTAATGTGGATCAATAATTGACGCCTCTATATGAAAACAAAAGTTAAGCTCAGATCAGTACAATTAAAGTTCAACATTCACTAATTATTTATAACTCAATTATATGTAATGTTGATTTTTTTTAATGACCAATGAATCGTTTCATTTGAGAGTTTAGGCTAACACAGACACCATTTAAGTCTTGTCAGTATATTCAAAAGTATACATGTAGATCAAGTATATATTAATCATACCTTGTGGTAAGTTTTCTGTTTTTGATAAATCTAATAAAGCACTTGCTGCCTGAGACTTTTCCTTCTCTGCAACTCGATTCTCAAAACGCTGGTATCTAGCATATCTGACAACGCCTTTTATTTCATTGCTGTGGTAACCCATGTAGACAGATGGAACATAATCTGGACTATTATCGTCATTGCTCTTTTGCCCTGTAATGATAAAAATGTAGGCCTAGAAATAACAGTGACAGAGTTCTATGAATATTAAAATCATTATTCATCAGTGACACAGTTCTATGAATATTAAAATCATTATTCATCTATATTTTTTTACGGATAGTTCAATAAAAAAAAAGAAATCATTAGCAGCCTTGCCAAGAGTTTTGATAATTGTCTAAATGACAAAATGAAATTAAATATGGGCCTTTATAGGCATATTTATATTGCATATTATAACAATTATCTTACCACTAATAAAATGCCTGAAGCAAACTCTGTCATGATCTGAAGGTTCCCATTGCTGCCCATCTTGGCTTTCACGTTTAATAGCTGCAATCCACAATTTTCTTCTGTGATCTGGTTTTTTTGGAACCCGATAAAAACTTCCTGAGGCTGGATTATCTTTCTCGAATCTGCTAGTACAACCGATAACGCAACATGATACCGGTACAACCATTTTGGAGACGCGCAAAAAATGCATGTACAGGTCACAATTGTATGGAATACAATTACTGCTTTTTACTGAGCGATGTTTCGACTAGGCTTCTCTATTCTTTATCAAGAAATGATAAAATAGGAAATGTAACAAGACAATATATACATGTACACAACAATACTTGATTAATACCGACCAACCAGAGAACTGTTTTTTCCTTAAAGTGAACATAACATAATTAAGTTAATCAATTGTGAGAGTGTAATGTTAATAACAACATTCAATGTAATATAGACCTCTTTACAGACAAATAAAACAAATTGATTAATGGATATCTTGTTGTGAAGTATTGACAATGATTTGATCAGGTTTTAATAATCACAACACCCTGAATGGACCCCTCCATTAAGCTAAAAATTTAGAAAGGCAGGATTTAAACCATTAATAATGGCATTAAATTGCAATAACAAGTTACAACAACACAACTCTTTTTTTTTTTTTAAAGTTCTACCTGGTGCCCTGAGTGGATAAGCAATATAATAAGAACCAATTATTAAGTATCATTTTGAAAAGGGTTATTTGTAATCATGTACGTAATTTAGATTATTAATTTTGAATAGTGGCCTAGCCTAGTTCCAAATAATTATGTGATAAGAAGATTGTCATCCGCCGTACGTGGGGAGGAAAAACCCGTGATCTCTGTTCATAATCATAGTTGGTTTGTGTCTTCGTATTTGAATGGCTTCGTGTAGTTGGCTTCTCCTCATATTTTATCATTGCTTGATAATGACTAGAGGAGCCCAGCGGAAACGTCGCTCAGTAAAAAAAAAACGTTAATAGGCGTTAATCAGATGATATACAGCGCTAAATGTCTTTCTTTTTAAAGCGATGTCAGTCAGCCAGCCATTTGTAAACAACCGATATTGCCAACCACTTGTATCACGTGACTTATTGTGACGTCACGGCTCAACATATATGTAATATATATACACACTAATAATTTCTATTTTTACCAAAGCTTCTTTTCCAACGGTTAAAATGGATGTATACGCTTCCAAATAAACTCGTTTCGATTTCTTGACAATATCTAAGCCTTTAACAGTTATATCTGAAGCGTCGCCTAACCCTAAACCAACAAAATAAAACATTTTGTTCCTGATCAAACTTTCAGTTTAGCGTCTTCGCATGCGCGACAGGAAGTGCGGTAAAAATAGCCGGATGCGGGTCAGTTCATCCCATAACCGTTCGTTCGTTCGTACTTGGTGTTTAACGTCTGCTTCAACATAAGTGATATCGCAGACAAGACATAGGAGAGCCGAAGCTGATTCCTGTTTTTTAGAATATGATTTTGCAATCTTTCCATTTGGCCTTAGGCCATGGATTTGGTTTAGTGGGAAGTTCTTCCCTTTATTTAATATAAAACATATCGTTTGGTAGATGATCTCGTCTGCTTCTGGATTGGTAGATGTCATCGTTTTAGTGTTTAGGTGCCAGGCCCGTCTTATCGTGGCCTCCCCTTACTCCACTATCTGGGTTTGGTATCAGTTTTATTTGCGGAATAGTGTTTAGGTGCCGAGTTCGTCTGACCGCCACTCCCCCTATCTCCACTATCCTGCTAGTTTGGTAGATGTCATCTTTGTGGGGTTTGTGTTTAGGTGCCAGGCCCGTTGTGGCAGTTTCAGATGGTTCCTGGTGTGTGATTACCGTTTGGCGCATGCGCAGTTGTAGGAGTCAACTCACACCGTTTCAGTCGCGGTGTGCATTGACTCCTCGTGATAGGATTTCCCCTAAGATTTTCTTACGGTCAAATCAATATATAGACTATTATGTAGCCTACCGATATTTACAGTATTACCACCACGAGAGGACGCAAATTGACGATCTTTATCTATATATATATTTGTGACTGTCGTTTGTCTGTCTGTCTTTCTGTCTGTCTGTCTATCTGTTTGTTCGGGGTAGGCGGCTACACTAGGTCTGCCCCGAGTCTGAAATTTGGGGTATAAGGTTACCTCGGACCGGGGAGTAACATAGGCCAAGACGCGTTAGTCTACCACTTCCGGTTTCGGAGTTATGACCCCGAGCGAAGCCGGTCTGTTCGGGGTTGGCGGCTACACTAGGTCTGCCCCGAGTCTGAAATTTGGGGTATAGGGGTAGCTCGGACCGGGGAGTAGCATAGGCCAGGTGGCGTTAGTCTACCACTTCCGGTTTCGGAGTTATGACTCCCGAGCGAAGTCTGTCTGTTCGGGGTTGGCGGCTACATCTGCCCCGAGTCTGAAATTTGGGGTATAGGGGTAACTCGGACCGAGGAGTGACATACGCCAGGTGGCGTTAGTCTACCACTTCCGGTTTCGGAGTTATGACCCCCGAGCGAAGCCGGTCTGTGCGGGGTTGGCGGCTACACTACGTCTGCCCCGAGTCTGAGATTTGGGGTATAGGGGTAGCTCGGACCGGGGAGTAACATAGGCCAGGTGGCGTTAGTTTACTATTTCCGGTTTCGGAGTTGTGACCCCCGAGCGAAGCCGGGTATCCTGCTAGTTATTATTATTTAGTATATATACCCGTCCACAAAGCGAACATTCTCTCTTGTATTTGGGCTGTCTACATGCATGTTTGAATGTATGGGATGGTATAATAAATCTATATTTATGTTAAAGAAATTGGAATAAGAAATTCCATACTTTTATATTTGTGATAAATGAAGCCACGAAATATCAATGGCCTTAATCTTCCTTTGGAGGTGAATTAATTGATAATTTCAAGCCAATCATCAATTTGTATGGTTTCCACTGATCGTACGTGTGTAGAGAACGACTAATCACTAAAAAAAAAACAACGGCAACAAATCACGAACGATAGAAGTATCAATTTCAAGCCAATCAACTTAGATCCGTTGATCGTAACGTGTAACTACTCATCACTAA